CCCCAAAACCCCAAAACCCCATTGATAAAATATTTGTTAAATCTAAGACTTTAAAATTTTTTTAAAAATCCTTAATATAATTAATCTTTTAATTAGCGGCAATGGCAATTAACGCTATTCCATTGTCATATCCAGAATTGTTCAAGGATTTTTTGTAAGCGTAACATATTCCACAAACTTTACAAACTAATAAATCAAAGCAATACTCACAGGCAGGAATGCAACAGCTAAATTTTATAAAATGCATTCAAGATAGAGAATAACAAGAATTATCTCGATTAAAATAAGGTCTACAATGACTACTTCAAACTCTTCCTTGCTTTCAGTTTTTGTGCTGCAAAAGTAAGTTACATTAGCTGAGATGAAATGCACACTGAATGATGCTAGTAGTGGTATTAGGCAAACTTATGTGTAGATGTTGGTTTAATGTTCATATTTTGCTTCTAGAAACGCTAAAAATGAAAATAATCCAATCATGTGCAAAATACCTAGAATGGCTACTCTCGGTTTATTGTTAAATAAACCAGGTAGAATATAGATAAAAGTAGCAAACAATGCAATGTAGCATATGTATGCCGGTGATATAAACTTTTAAAACCCCACTTTATTATCATTCAAAAATATCCCAAGGAATAAGAGGCTTAGTTCCAAACTAACAAACATGATAATTATTAAAACACTCATTACCACATTGAGTTACTTGGTAGATTAGAAATCATGGATATACAAAGAGCTCAAAACTCCATAAACAAGTAAAACTGATAATTCTAATGGAATAAACAGCTAACTATAAGTCAAATCAGCTGAGATTCTGCCACTAAGCTTTAAGTAAAGTAAAACAAGAAATGCTATTAAACAAAGATTTGCCATGAAAATAAAATATACCAAGGAACTCTATCTCTAAAGCATATTTAAATCTGTTGACTCTTCGCCAAAACTCCTCTCACTGTACTTTATAACCATTTTTTAAAATTGTTCCTCGGCAAGAGCCAAGTTTTATGAATTAGAAAAATCGACATAATTTTCTTTCAATACCTTTTCAGGGTCTTTTGTCAACGTCAGTTTGTTTTAGATCCTATTTTTAAGTACGTTAAGGTAGCTATTATTTCAATATAACTTATCAATCTAAATTTTATCATCTTTATCATCATTATGTTCATTAGGATTGTTTTAAGTTACTACATCGTTTTATGTTTTAGAATCTCGTTTGAATTTCTCTGATTCTTCATCATAATTGGATTAATTGTCTTCAGATTGAAATAATTAATGTAATGAGGAGTTGATTAGTAATTTCTAATCAGTTTTTTTATTTTGCCGTGGCTTTGCATGAATAACTGGATCTTAATGGGATACAAACTAAACCTTAGAGGTCTCTATTCTATCTTCGTCTATGCTAAAGTTTTCATCATCTTCCTAAATTTCCTCCATTTTATCCTCTTCCGACTTAAAATTAAATTTGTAATCAAAATTACTCCTAAATGAAGGAGTGGGTTTTAACTCAACAGAGTTTTATTCTTTCTTTGGCATTTCAAAAACTAAAATCGGATCTCCCTTCATTTCAGAATCCGCACCCTTACTATCAATCATTAGAATCTCATCTAAGTCAAAAAGATCCTTTTTTTTAGGATTGTCTTAAAGCAGATTACCCCTACTTGAAGATTTCTAGATAAAAGGATCATTAATGTTTATTGGCATATTTTTGTTGTAGTAAGTATTCAAATTAGCTTTAGGATTGATTCGATGTCGTGGCTGATTATCTGATTAAGAAAATCGTGCACTTAAGTCGGTATCGTTATTATTCATTTAATTTAAAAGTAATAAAGCTAAAACCTAACGACTCTTTATACAGTTAACAACGATTAATAATTTTTAAAGAATGCTTAATCATAATTAATTCCATATATTATTCTAATAAATGTTTCTAAATTACAAATCATATGCTAGGGGTTTTGGGGTTTTGGGG